AGAGAGAGAGAGAGAGAGAGAGAGTCATAAACGGCGTGCGAGTGATATGAACAATATCCTTCCCACGGAGTGACGGAACGATAGGGAGAGACAGAACATGCGACACGCGCTGACGTATTATTATGTGCTTAACTGTCCAACGCGTCGCGCTGGCGCGACGCGCCGTATCATCTCGCTCGGGACTCTCGTCGTACGATCTCACGAATTTTCACGCTTTTATCGGGTAAATTAACATTTTTGTTAGCGATATACAGCTATATCTACGCCGAGGAAAATATGAGTCAAATTTTTGCGTGTATAGGTACACATCTATACTCGCAGTAGACAAAATAACCGAGTCGTACGCTGCCGGAGGGAAGAGAAATTGTGCGCCTGTGTCTCTCTACACGTTAAAGTCCCTCCGTAGATTCCAAACCTCCATTCGATTGTCCATTCGATTCGGAAAGCGTGTGATTTCCTTACATCTCGCTTCTCCCACGCGTCCTCTTATCTCGTATACGTACGGCGGCGAACCCCGTACTTTCACACGTCGCGATCGACGGAGAGTTAGAGTCGCGTTGAAATCGCTCGAGCCGCCGGATCCCCGTGCCACCGTCCGAATTTCGATCGAGGTAGTCTGCATTAGTATTGTCGTCGGGTCGTAACGTCGTCCTCGCGGTGGCGTCCTCCCTCGATTCGTCGCCGTTATCGATCGCGGCGGTGGCGGCAGCAGCGACGACGACGGCGGCGGCGGCGACGGCGACGGCCGAAGAATTCGGGGTGCCGGACGGGGGACGTGTCAGTTTCTTTGCGGTTTTATTACACGGCTCGCCGGAGGTGGCAATTTGTTGAAGCCCGCGTTGTCAAAGACCGGAAGTAGGTCCCTCACTCTTTGTCCCGCGCCGATCGACGCCAGCTCGATCCATCTGCAACGGCGAAACACGTGAAAAGGGGTTCTCTCTTTCTCTCTTCTTCTTCTTCCTCTTTCCTCTTTTTTATTTTTAAAAAGAGCCGTTCCCTCCTAATGCCCGCAAACCTTTTGTATTTTATTGGCAATGTTCCATTAAAGATATTATGGCGAAGTATAGAAGAACGAATCGCGCGTAATGGCGTTATCATTATTTTCTCTTTTTTTTTTTTACAGAAGAGATTGCATTTTAAGGTAACAGCAATTATTTCGTGTTTTTTTTTTAATTCCACGTTTTAATTTAATCGATAGGTGGACGATTTTCATTGAAACTATAGATAGCCAGTGGCTGCACACCGCGAACTAAAATCGAACGTAATTCGCACAAACGGAGAATATCGATACATTCAATAGCTCGCTCATCTCGTGTGAACAGTCGTTTCGTGTAAAGTCATTTTTTTATCGCACTCTGTATGTACGAGTGTATTAATAACAGCGGTTCTGTATATAATTCGGAAACGGACATTTGAACAATCCGCGATTATACGGCGGATTGTCGAGTGCACTTTCGGCGCGTTACGATAGTTAATGAAAATCGTTAATAAATATCGGGGCTGGGGACGATATCGGGTGTCGCGTGCGCGCGCTCGCGTAATTTTTAACACGCGCGACCACACGCGGAATTTGTCGTGTCGATGAATCACGTGCGCGCCGGAACGGTCGCGTCGCGCAACGCGGTGAAGAGCATGCACGGAACGAATTCACTTCCCACCTGTTGTTTTTGTATTTTGCGAGGGGTTGAGCGGCTGGATGGGGCGTTTCGGTGGGGAAATATGTGGCCCCATAAAAATCCAAACCACGGCTCAGCAGCAGCGAGGTCTCCTCCACGCTGGCCAGGGTAACCCTTATAACGGGTGGCCCCGTATAAATCGTCGCCGGCTCGTTCAGATTCTGCGCGTCGCTCTTTAGCTTGTCATTGATGGCCTTCACTGATTTATTTAACACACCGTTTTATTGCGTGCGTTGCAGAAAGGCAGAAAGACTCGACGAGGTCGCGCCGCGGAAAGTAATGGCTCTCAAATATGCGCGCGTATACAAAAACGCGAATATACGTTGAAGTCAATTGCAAAATCTATTGTTGATATTGCGCGAAATGTCACTGGCGTGACTCAAATGTACTGATATTGCTCAAGACATTAAGAATAACATAGATATGTCGAATCGTTTTTTGCAAAAATAAAATTTTTTACAGAGATTTAATTTTATGGATTTAAGGTCCGTAAAGATAAAACTCGATTCAAATAGTGAAAGAAGGCTAATGAGCCAAGCAGGATGTTTTTGCTACTGTATAGTTGGTAAACGATCATATATAAAATAATGTATTCATACATATACACGGAAAGAACGATTTTGTTGAAAGGTCTAAAAATTTTACTAAAAACAGATCTGAAAATAATTTTTTGTTAAATTATTAAAATAATTAGTAGGAATGTTAAAGCTGATAAGCATTGCTAAAAATGTTTTGATATTCTAGCAATCATTTTGACTTTCGCACAAAATTATTTTGATTATTGAACAAAAATTATTTTTAGATCTGGATTAGCAAAATTGTTCTTTCCGTGTATTTATATGTTACCGTCAAAACCCATAATCCATTAAAACAAATTCATTAATTAAAACTAGAATGGTTGATTAGACGTAAAATCGAAACCTATGTAGACAGTACAATTATAGATCATGTTTCGCCCCGTAAACAGAGAGGGGGGGGGGTCAAACCTCGCTACGCGTAAAAAGTCGAAAACCTATGTAAAGTATAAGGTATACAATTATAGACCTCGTTTCAACTGAATTTAAAACTAATTTTAATTAGTGAAATCGGGTTTTAACGATTATGGATTTTGACGATAACATATATAACATTATTATTTTATGCATAATTGTTTATCAATGTATATACCGTAACCAAAAAATCCTGTTTAGTTAATTTTTTTACTGAGATTGCGTTCTAAATTAAATGCACGCAAAATATCTAATATCTAAATACATATAAAAGATTTTTGAGATCGTAGAGGGGAAAGCAGTATCCATCACGTTACGCGTATAGGGTCTGAAGCTTTCCTCCCTCCCTCCCATCCCCGGAAAGCGCGACGGTATGGAGGAAATATGGAGAAGGAGCATTTGCATTTTCGTGACTCACAAACAGTTCCCGTATTCAGGGGTAGCCTGGTTACTTCGACGATAGATCGATATTTGTAGAGAGCGTGTCTAATATCGTCCTCCGGCAGCTCTTCGGGCACATCCAGCACGTAGACCGTGAAGATCTTCGCCGGCCTGCACGGTATAGCGACCTGTACATGTATTACGAATTGTAATGCATATTATTTCTGTGGAAAGATCCAAAAACGGTTACAAGAGTTGCGAACTTACATTTCAGAGAATAAAGGGAATACTTTCTCTCTCTCTCTCTCTCTTTCTCTCTCTCTCTCTCTCTCTCTCTCAAGAATAAAGCAAATGTTTCTCCAATCGGCTTTAAGTTAGTGTAACGCAATAATGAAATTCAACATTCGCGCTGCTTACGCAAATTATTGTTTAAGTTATTTTCATTGTTGAGCACCCTTTGTACTCTGTTAGCATATCCGGCAACATGTGTGTTTGTGCTACACGAGAGTGTAGAATCCATGCACAGAATCCCCGAGATTAGTTGCAGAAGCGCTATAAGGTATTTCTGTGTGTCAGGTGCTTTGGCTTTAGTAAGGTTTCCCGTGGTAATCGCGTGCAGCATAATGCAACGCTCCCGGATGTAAAGTTTAAAAACGCTAATGTACGTTAAATTATTCGTGACAAAATTACACTTTGCCCGGCCGTTATTTATATCGGTGAGACGAAGAAAAAAAATATTTTCAAAAAACGCGTCCTGCAGAGACGCAGAGCTAAAAGCCGCGAGAATACGTCGGTACGGAGTATATATACCTTACCTTTTTGTAGAAACGCGCGCCCGTCACTTTGTGAAAGCCTTTTTTATACACCGCCTGAAAGTCGTCGATGTTGCTGAACTTGAAGAGAATGCCGGTGGCGGTCTTCGTCAAAGAAAATGCACCTCTAGATCGTAATGGAAGGTCGTTTCTATTATAATATAAATTAATCAGGGAAACGAAAGTCTGTGAAAGTCTTCTGTATTTACAGCGTTTACACGATAGAATAATACCGTAGTTATAGAGATTATGTTTACTCTGATACAACTTTGATGCTGACAATGAGCGTGAATGAGATCCTGCCACCGTCAAGCACACGAACTCATTGTCGATGCGCCAAAAACGTTTGTACGTAGCGTCACTCGCAGTTGGCTTTAATGCATTTGTTGTCCGACCTGTTACTGCCTTTACTACTTCACGCGACGCGACGCGCCAGCTGACTTAACTACTTTCAGATCCGATTCGGGCAGGAAGTGCTTTAGAATCTCTTGCGGATTAAGCTTAAGTGGAGGCCGAAGTAATCTAGACGATACACATAGGGCCGATGCGAATGCTACAAATCAGTAAGAATAAAATTTTGACGTAAATCGATCTTTGTACATAAATATTGTATCTTGACGTTACGCAAAATTTTTATGCTTGTCTTAATAAACTATAAAAGATAATATGAAAAATAATGAAACAGTTAATTTTTTGGAAATATAAATTCGTTCGTTTATTAATTCCTTTATTTTTCAAAATATGAAAAATGTAACTTGTATCGTTGTTTCAATAATTATTCTTGTTTTGAAAAACGAAAAAAGTTATTCACTAATAATTCTCACAATAAAAAACACAGTAAAAAACATTTTGTATTTGTGTTAAAAACGGTCCATTCAAATCCTCGTTAAAATTTTGTGTTGAATTTGTAACATATTCGAATTAATTTAACATTATGTGATTGTGTTATTTAAGTATTTTGTGGTAAATTGATATTCAACTTTCTTGTGTTAAAATACAATTTATGTGTAAATGAAATAAAGTAAAAATAATACGTTTTAAAATGTAAATTTTATAAATGAATGAAATACGTGTTAATTTAAATTATATCGTAAATGTTTTACTGAAAAATATTCTTCCACAGTTTGCTTACAAATTGTGTCAGTATTATATTTTTTGTGTTAATTTTTTTATATAATATTTATGTTACTATTTAACATGTTCGTCTTGTATTAAATTATAACAAAAATTTAAGTGGGCACATGTTTGAGACGTGTTAAATTTGACACAAATTTCTCGAAGGGTCATTTATGAACAACCAATCTAAAGAATTATTACCAAGAATTTCAAGTTAAATTTACATTTTTAAATATGCAATTTGTAAACTTTACGATACAAATGCGTGTATCCTTTCGCGATAATGAGCTTGTCGAACACAATCGGTGAGGCGCAAGGCGCACGATAAAGCAACTAACGATAAAGAAAACCGACGACACTTCGGAGCTCGTTCGTCATAGTTATCGGTTCAGGGGGGAGGGGGGGGGGACGGGGGTAGTACGATGGCCGGTTTAACGTCTCTTTCATCGAACGGCTTGGAGATCCGGGAAATAATCCTCGTCCCCAAGCGACGAGGTATGGTATAGCCTGGGCAAAGTGATGCGCTCACCGGAAGTTCATCTTCTCGCAGATGGTGGCGGCCTTCTCCATGCTCAGCTCGTGGCTGGGGGTGAGGAGGAAGGCGCCCTTCGTGAGAAAATCGTTCTCGCTGACCTCGGAGTCGGTGTCGCCGTGGTCCGGCCAGTCGGCGGAGCCGCGTCGGCCCTCCTGATTCAGGCGCAACATCGAGCTGCTCTTGGACGTGGACATGTCTTTCTCGCACTGCGCACTGCCCCCCTGTTCCGGCTGCGACATCTTTTATAGCGGTTGCCAGCGAACCGAGAACGTGGGTGATGATCTCACGAGTGTGTGCCGCGCGAGAGGGAACGGCCCCGTCCCGTGTATAACGATCCCTATATAATACCCACGTATACGTAATGCGTGCGGTTACGCGAGATCGATCGCGCGCGAGAGAAGGATGTCAGGCGCCGGACATACGTCGTGCTACACTGCTCCGTATCGCGTTCCACCACGGTCCTTTTATATATGCGCCTACGAATCGCGTCGCTTTGGACGGGCTGAATAGACGGGCGAACTAGATCGAGACCGGAGATCGGAAGATGCCGCGCGCGCGGCAAAAAGTGCCCCCCGATGCGGCCGGTTGATCCCCTGATTGTTATTGATGCGCACACGCGCACGAGAAAAGGACCGACCGACCGACTCGAAGGTTTCAATTGTTATAGTAACGGATAAGCGTGTAGGAGGAAATGCAGCCGCTTGGATATGGATTATTACTCACGCTAATGATTTCAATAGATCAGAATGTGCTCGAGATACCTAGTGTCGAAATTGTACGCGCGCACACACGCAGCTTTCATCCGTAAATGTCAGGCGTCACACTCGTCCTGTTTACGAACCTTCGCCATGCCCCTTTTGCGCTCGATATACAAAGACGCTTTGTATTAAGAGCAGAACAAAGAGCGCGAAACTCTCTTTTCCGACCCAGTTATATTTTTTTTAAAGTATCGTTTTCCACGGTTATAGAAAAAAATACTAGGGGAATCCTCCCAGAAAGGGAGAAAGCGAGCAGGACTCTGATACATTAGCTTTCTCTCTTTTTATACGATTTTAACCTACTTAACACATAATACATAGCAATATTTAATAAATCTTAATATAAAATTCTTTTTACATTGAGATAAGTCTATATTGAGTCTTAAATTAATAATTGCGGCAGTTTAATATTTTATGGAGCTACACTCAGAAAATACATTCATCTCGTGCTTCCATTGTTTTATCGCAAAATCTATGACAGCAATCTGAAGACTCGCATAAATATTGAAACATCATTATGTATGCAAGTGCATAAAAAGCTTCATTTGAATTTAATTCAAGCTTTCGACAATTACATTCGTCAAAACAATCGAGTGTAGAGCTATATCGATTTGCCACATATAACCACAGATTTCTATAGAATACAAATTTGTGCATATAACAGCTAGACTGCTTAAAGAAGATATTTACAATTAAAATTAATATTTATAATTAAAAATAAAAACTAAAAAAATCGTTTAAATATTTTCTCAATAATCTGATGCACTTATTTTTTTTGTAATTGGCGCTACTTTTATTAATACTCTCAATAGATTTTGTGTAGGGAATATTGAAATGTATATCAATTAAATGATTCTATTAGATTAACGAAATTTTATGTCGGCTATTGTCATTGTTTTATTAATTATTTTATTAACATTTTTGTTGACAGATGTCGCAGATCAACATCGAAGTCGACTAAAATCAGATCACCGGATCGTCGATGAAGTAGTAAGTACAATAAATTATTATAAATTTGGCAGTGTAAAATATAAAATTGCACTGACATAATGCCTTCGGAAATCATTGACGCACGAGCCAAAAATGATGCAATAAAATTTCTAAAATTTAAATGTATATTAAAAGCGAAAACGCTATACATAAAATTCAAAACATATAAGCGAAAAACGCATAGAATTGGAAACATTCTGACTTAATTCTATTACACGCGCGCAATCTGTGCGGAACTTCATTTTATCCCAAGTTAAAGGCAGTAAATCACGCGTCTCGCTAACGGCAACGGCAAACAATCGGGTAGCGACCGCTTATCGCGCTCGAGATCTCAAAAGGCATCAACTACGGGTCGCCGCCTCGCTCCTCGCGGTCGTCAAACCGTTCAACGTGCGCATTAGGAGGCCAATCCGCCGGGTGCCATCCGGTATCGTCAAAGCCGGGCGATTGCGAAACGACGAATCTCCCATTCAAATCTCTTAATTGCCGGTCGTGTTAGGTGACTCGTCGACACGCCGCCGCGCCGCGCCGATCATTAGAAATCGCGCAGAATTTCCCGATTCGGCCGGAGGGCGAGCGCGTGGATGCATGTAGTTCTCTTTCTCTCTCTCTGCGTGTACAATACCTATACAATACCTATGGAATGCGTTATGCGAATATCACGGAACATCCGTTCATGCCACCGATAGCAAGAACGATGATTGTACATCGGTTCGCGGCGGCGGCGGCGGCGGCACGAGAGAGAGAGAGGCGAGAGCTCACCGATAATTCACCAGACCAGGTTGACAGTGCTGCGCGATACTTCATCGTCAATAATCTGCCCGGCGCATCATCATCCGGGCAGCGCGCCGCGACGCACATCGCCCGGGGATACGTGGGCAGTCCGATCGACGCCGCTCTCGGCCTCTTTTTCATCGCTTGCGTAAAGACGCGGGCGATGAATTGGCTGCGTGGGCATTTAATTGGATGATTGGCCGAAACGATACGTCCTCGATAAATTGGCCTGTGAACGGGAAAAAAAACACAAGAGGAAACGGGAGTTTTTGCCTGGCCGTTATGGTCAAAAGTTGTTATTAAAGACGATGAGGCGTTACGTATTACGTGAAAAACGAAGGACGAAATGTGATACGATCGCAATGATCAATCGAGAGGTTTATTCTTCTCCTTGACCGTTTTGTACGATAATTAATTGGGTAAAATTATATCTTCTCTAATTTGTATTGGCAATAATTTTTATTGTAGATATTCGTTTCTGTTAATAATTTTACGCAATTTTTTTATCAATTGAATATATTATTTTAATATATTAAATATCTCTTTCGATATCAAAATTTAATGGGAATAATGTAATATGACTATTCTAGTTAGAATTACTTTGTAAAATAATTTAAAAAAAACACAAATGAAATGAGTATGTTAAAATAAAGTTGCGCGTATTGATACAAATCTTTAATAAATTAAGTTGACATTAAATTTGTTTAATAAATTCTACAACGGGACAATTTTGGGCTCGATGGTGTCTGTCATTAATCAATCATTATCAAAGTATGATGTGTCCCGAAGGCAATAATTGTCAAGGGCCTGTCGAAAACCGCGCAGTGATCAAAGAAATGTCAATAGCAGCGGTCGTTCGCAAACATCGGATACAAAAGAAAATACCGCGGTTGCGTCGCGTGGCAGAATAACAGAGTACAAAGCGTACAGCAGCGAGTAAAAGCTTTTCGAAAAAGAAAAAACGAAAATAGATACGAGCTATAATTGGTACAAAAAGCCACGCGAGTCGGGACGCGGTAGTGAATGAGATAAGATTTTTATTTTAATATTTTTCCCGTTAGTTTTTATTTATCAAGTCGATGGTATGTATAATATTTATTAAGAGACGCCGCCGCGTTAAAATTAATTGTTATTTATAGTCGTTTATTTATACGCTGCTGAGCCGTTTCGTCTTGGAGCTTATCGATCGCCGAGAGATTAGCTATCGGGGCATAAAAAAGGCACTTTCACAGGGCGGGGGGGAGGGTCTAATGAGAGTAATGGAGTCTTGTAGCTCAAGAACGCTTTTCTTCTGGATGGGTACGCCCGAAGCATCGCTTCGCAAAAGTATTGGGAGGACCTCCCCCGTTCCCTCCCCCTCCCCCTGCCCGTTCTTACCTTGGCCAGAGGAGCGAAAGTGCAATGGAGGATGAAGATCCAGTTACTTATGTCGTTACTGGAGTTGAAAAAAAAATCCATGTCGCGAAATTGTCTCTTATATGGCGCTGAACGTTGAGCATCTGCTTAATTTCTCACCGTTTCTCTGCCTCCCCTCGGGTTGAACTTTCTTCGCGAGGACTCTCGCCCTCTCGCATCCAAAACTCCTTAAACTTCACTCTACTGCCCGCTTCACTTTAGTTATGCTTCTCGTCTTATCACACAGGTGCACTATTTCATGTCTGTGCGCAAAACGTGCAGCACCTAATTTAAATTAAATACTCGGAACAATTTTAGAGATAATATAAACTTTCTTTAAGTCCTCCTCTCTGTCTCTCTCTCTCTCTCTCTCTCTCTCTCTCTCTCTCTCTCTCTTTCTCATCGTCTACGGTATTTGACATAGCATATGTTTTACTAGTCTAGTGTTTAAAATTAATCTATCGATAAACGCGTATAGATATATATTTATTACATTTTACTATAATTATTGATTAAAATTCAATATCACAAATATGATACAGTACTTTCAAGCATTTGTCATTTTAATAATATTGTAATAAATATTATACATTACGGCTAGCTTAAAACGCAAATATCCATCATTATTGGTCAGCAAACGAAACCAGAAGAAGGCGTAGGGTGAAGTGTGACCGGGTTTGAAAAGGCGAAAGGGGGTGGGGTGGACGAAATGAAGAGAAAAGAAATGATTGCTCCTGGCGGCAGCGCGCTTGCGAAATGAACGCGGCGTGACTGCCGCTTTGAAACGGGGATGAATTGTAATTGGACGGAAATGGAATTCGGATAGTTCAGGACCAAATACGCAGAAAGAGACAGATCATCGCGGAGGAGTAGAGAGAGAGAGAGAGAAGGAA